ATGTGACAACTGCGATGCACGAGGTAAGAGCCAGAGCTCAGCCTTCAGCCCCGTCTCCTGCCTCTTAGCCCCACTCTTGTTAAGGATCTGCAGATGAGCGAGAGGCAGAGGGGGAGATGGGCCACACAAGCTAGGACGGGGACAAGCATCAACACCACCCCCACCCAAGACTCCGTGGGTGTGTGGGGCTGCACGCGGGAAGTGAGGTGTGGGAAGGGAACCCTCCTGCCCTTCTTGAACTGGGAGGGGGGAGGGAGGTCAGTGGCAAAGATCCAGAACATTTCCTCCTGTCCCAGGGGGCCAGGTGGGAATGGAGGAAGAGCCAAATCCCCTCATTCAATCAGAAAGCCGTGTCTGCCCAGGTTCCCGGCTGCCACTTCCTCTAGCCAGTCTGGGGGTGGGGGGTGACCCTCCTCCCATTGTCGTCATAATTTCTAGATCCAACCACTGGAAAAGGGAGACTCTTCTGAACCTCAGTGACTCCCTGCATGGGTGTTTTCTCCTCCGTCTGCTGGGGGGTCCCCGAGTGCACGTGGTGGGGGAGGGCACGTATTCTCCTATCAGACTAGGGTGCTGGCAAGGCAGGAAGGGTGCCTCCTCCCTCGGACTGAGCATGGCCTTTATGCAAGGCCCCCAGCCTCCGCCCCAGACCCTCTGTGGATGGAGGAGTGCTCTCCCAGTGCCCCGCTGGGTGGGCTGGGGTTTCCAGCTTTTCTCTCCCTCCCTTCAACAGCGAGCTCCCTGCAGAGGGCCAGAAGGAAGGCCAGCCACTGTCCCCATGGGCAGGGAGGATACCACAATTGCGAGGTTACCAGGCCCCTCCCACCCAACCTGCTCCTTCCAAAACCGAGCCTTGGAAAATCACACGTTGAACCCTTCCCTCCCTCCCACCCACCCACCCCCACACACACACAAATGGGCGTGCACACAAATACACACACTCCCACACACAAATATACATGCACAGGCATCACACATTCAACCAGGTAACTGCACCAGGGTGGAAATGAACCTGTTCCTAGGGAACACCTGCAGACCACTCCCCGCCCACACACACACCAAGGCTTTCAACGCAGAGGAAGAGGAGGAGAAGGAAGAGCACCAGTGACCTTTGGCCCTTCTCTGGGAGGAGAGGCAGGTGAGCTCAAAACTTCCTGGGACCCGAGGATGGAGAAAGAGAAGGAAAGAGCGCAGAAGCCCCGGGCAGGAGCCGGAGAGGGAGAGGGGAGTAGGGGCGGCACAGTGGAGACCGGCCGAGTGCCGCATGCTGCTGAGAAGATAGCGAGACCAGAGGGGGAGCAGGCCAGGGCCGGCAGTGGTGGAAACCCGGGGCTGCAGGGTCCTGAGAGAGGCCCCAGGGCGGCTTGCGAGGAGAGGAGGGAGCCGGGAGAGAAGTGCAGGGGAAGCGCTGGGCGCGCTCAGAGGCCGGGGCGCGAGAGGCGGAGTGGAGCTGAACTGGCGGAGTCGCCCCTGCCCACGGGGCCAGCGTAGGGGTCCCAGGCTTGCAGGGGCCGGCAGGAGACCCATAGCGCCTCCAAGGCCAGGGAGATAGGACACCTCCTCCACTCCCCGGCCACAGCCCCGCCGCTCTCCCGTTCCTCTCCAACACAGAAGGCCAACTTCGAGCCGAGCAAGAAGGAGTTAAGCCCTCTCCCCCTCCCCCCCCCACATCAGTTTTTTATTAATTTCTCTGGGCGCCGGGCGGGAGGGAGGAAGGGGATTAGGGACACAAATCCTATCTCCGCCCCCTCCCCTGACAGCTCAGCGCCCCAGCCCCGGGCCGTCCCCCTAGGAAGAGGGGAAGAAAGGCCTTCGTCGTTTTGCCCCAGGCAAGCCCCCTCGGGGGGTCCCACCGCGAGCCCGAGTCGCTCCCCCAGGGCCCGGCTCTCACCTCCAGCATCGGTCATCTTCAGCGTCCGGCGCCCCGGGAACCCCTCCGGCCCATAGTGCTCGAGGCGCGGGCCCGGAGGCAGAGGGGGTCTTCAGGCTGTCTCGTCACCCCGGACGCGGGGGGCTCCGGGCGGGCTCGAGCTGCTCCATCCCGGAGGTGGGGGCGGAGGTCGGCGGGAAGGGTCCCGGAGCCGGAGGGAAGGGCGGGCGGGGGGCGGTGCGGGAAGGAGAAGGCTTGCAGGAAGCCGGAGGCGCGGGCGGGGCTGCACTGGGAGACCTGCCGGGAGGATGCTCCGTGTGTGCGTGCGTGCGCGCGTGTGTGTGCGTGTGTGTGAGAGGGGGAGAGAGGCAGAGGAGAGAGCGCCACCTCCCGCCCCGCCCCCGCCCGCCGGGCTCCGCCGCACGCCGCCCCCCGCCCGCAGGCCGATTTGCGCGGTGTCGCGTCAGTCGCGGTGCGCGCGGGTCCCCGGGGAAGGGGCGATGCGGGGGGCGCGTGGCGGGGAGGCTGGGCGCCCAGGAGACAAAGAGCGGGAGGGAGCGACGGAAGGAGGGAGGGAAGCCGGCAGGGGGCGGAGGCGACCGAGGGGCGGAGGCGGCCGGCGCCGCGGCCAGGCCGGGGACCCGAGTTGCCTTGACTTCTGGCGAGCGGAAGCCTTCGCGGGTGGGAGCCGCCGGGGACGCGACGCGGCCCCGCCTAGGGACCCACGGGGCTTCCGCTTCCTTTGCAAGGGGCTTCCTGATTCACTCACTCATTCATTCAACAAACCTGCAGCCCGTGGGCGCGCGCGGTGCAGTTAGCTGGACAGGGGAGGGGGGAGGGGTGCTGTGGCGCTGGGAGAGGAGCGCCCCCAGGGCGCGAGGCCCGGCCTGGGGGCGGCGTGGCGGGTGGGCAGGGGGATTCCTTCAGGAAGAGATGTACGGGTTATTGCCGCAGGCCACCGCAGGGGAGAGGCGCCATGGGGTGGAACTGGGGAGTTCTGCTGGCCAGCAGGGCCCGGAAGGGGCTCCCACTCGCATTTTGGGCAGAACCTCTGGCTCCTCGGTGGGGAAGGCAGGGACACCCCACTCCACCCCCTCGCGCGCTCGCGCGCCAGGAAGACCAGTTGAGCACCCTCCCGGATATAGGATTGAAGTTGACAGGCTGGGGCACCGGCTGGGCTAGGAGCAAGATTGGAGGAGGGGTCTGGGATGACGGTGGGGCTTGGCTTGGGGCTGGGAGCCCTGCAGCGGCGTGGGGGCGGGGATAGATGAGCTCAGACTTGGACCTGGTGAGCTGGAGGTGGTGGCAGGCCAGGCAAGGGGGGGAAATGCAGTCATCCCCAACCAGCGGCCATGTGGCCAGGCACCCTCCCAAGCACTTTTCTGATTATTTACTGTCACCCTCCCAGTAACTCCACGAGGCAGGTGTTCCTGTTACCCCCTACCCCCCGGGGGGGGGGCACTCAGAGTGAAGCTGGATGGAGGCCCTGGGCACAGGGGAGAGGCGTGGTGCCTAGCGGGATTGAGGTCCCGGGAGCCGCCCCCCCCCCCCCCCCCGCCTCAGAGCAGGTGCAGAGAGAACAGCCCGGAAAGGACACGGCTATGTGGGAGGTCTGTGGGTGTTTGGGGGCCTCCAGGTGTCTTCAGAATCAGGGTGCTGTCCAGATCATGGAGCCGTGGGGCCAGCGTGGTGTCTCCAATGACAGCTTTTGGGGACTACGTCTGGGGTCTTTAAAGAGGCTGTGGTCTGCAGGCATCTGGGGAGATGGGGCTGGGGTTGCAGGGCGGGTTCCGTTAGCCCCTGTAGATCCCAGATCTAGGGTCAGTGCCGGCAAGGGGTGAGGGGGCCCTACAGGGGTATCTCTGGCACACGAGACCTAGGAGGACCCTGTTCCTGGTGAGGCCCCTGGTTTTCCTCTCCTGTGGCAAAGTGACTGGAGCGCCTGAGAACTAGGCAGGAGGGGGCAAGGGGACGGGCTAAGCTGCCGAGCTTCACCCAGGCCTGCCCACAGCCACTGCCACGGTCCCAGACTCAGACTTGACCTTGGGTGAGTCACAGCTCGGGCTTGAGGAACGCACAGTGAAGCCACAGGACACGCCACCTAAATTCGAGAGGGCCCACCTTGGGAACATACATGTGATGATACACAAGTCAGACAGGGTGGCCGGACCCCACCCCTGTGCTTAACCCCAATCAGCAGAAGCCCCTACCGCACCCCCTGCCCTCAGGGAAAAGTACCACCACACTACTTGGGACTTCCTGGCTCGTGTCCTGAGCAGGGCCTCACTGGCCTTGGGGTCCAGTGACCTCGTGGTCCACTGGAAGGCTTGGCCACTATCCCCAGGTTTCCACATGACCCTCAGGTGCGTGGCAGGAATGGGCCAGCCCTCCATGGCCTCGGGGGGTGGAGCTAGCATTTCTGAGCAGCAGCTAGGAAGCCAGAGTTTGGCTGGACAGGAGTGAGGCATCACAAGGGATGGGCGCCTCTGGGGCTGTCGCAGGAATGCTGGCAGAGGCCATGCATCTCAGGTGCTACCAGGGACCGGTCAAGGTGACTGACGGTCCTGAAGCAGAGGCCTCCCCTGCTTACAATGGAGGGCAAAGCGAAGACTCCCCAGGGGCTCTCACCCCTGAACACAAACGCTTAAGGCAGGACAAGGCTGGTGCTGGTGACACCCCACCCCCACCGGGACTCCCAACCTTGTCCCAGCACCAGGGACAGCTCAGCATCTGGGTGTCAGGCCTCCTGGCATAGAGCAAAGCCTAGGACTACGTAGGAGCTCCAGAGGGACACACAGAACCTGGCGCTCGCACTGTACCAACCCACCCCCTCCTGCGATCCTTCCTGAGCCCCCTGCAGGGATCTCCTGGGAGTCCAGGGGCTTCCGTCAACCTTGCCACATTTAATTCATGCTGTGAAATCCTCCAGATGCCTGGGAGAAAGACAGGTGGATGCACTGAGTTCACTCAATAGGAACCACAGCCCTGCCCAGGCTGACTGGACGAAACATGGGTGTTGATGGGAGATGCTGGACGAGAGGACGCCTGCTGGCTCTAGGGGCTCCCTGGTGGGTTGGGACCACCACCCTCCACCCCCGCACCAGCAAATCAAAAGACCATGCAGCGAGGCTCTGGGGGCTGCTTTTATGAGGGCGATCTGACAGAGGGCATGGTCCGTACAAAACCAGGAACAATACATACATATATATATTATATACAGAGACGCGGTCCTCCGAAGGGCGGCCGGGCACCCGCGGCCCGCCCCCTCCCTCTGCCATGGTCCAGGGCGGCGCCCGGCACGGAGACAGCCAGCTCTTTCAGGGGGTGGGGGCATGGGAAGGCGGGGGCAAGAAATACTGATTGATGGCATGGTCTATTTACAGGGGACAAGAAGCCAAAACGTTTTTTTAAAAATGATCAGAAACCCAGGCTTGGGGCAGGGGCATGAAAAAGTGGCCAACTGAGATGGATTCTGGAAGGGTGGCCCCTGGGGGGGCGGGGGTCTCACCTCCCTTGGTCCAAGCCCCAGTCTGGGGTTAAAGTGGGAGAAGTGGAGTCGGTTTCGCTCAGAAAGTGGCCAGGGTAGCCCTGGGCTCCAAAGAGCCAAGAAGTGGTGAAACCCTGTGCAGCCAGAGCACAGAACACAGGGTGGCGTGGGGCTGTCTGCCACGGGAGTGCAAGGCTTCCAGGTGTCGCCCTGGGCAGTGAGAAATACTCCCCTCGCCTACAACCAGGGTCCCTGCAGCCAGGACCCCGAAACCAAACCACCCCCCCTTCCCTTCCTGGCATTCCCAGGCATGACCGGGACACCCGGACTCCAGGGAGGCCGCACGGCTGTTCCAGGAGGCTATGGCTATTTGGCACCTGGGAGAGCGGAGGCACAAGAGCCGAGGGCTGCTGCCCAGGAGAGGAGGAGCTGGGGACCAGGAGTCCTAGACTCTCCCGGGGCCCTGCGCTCACCCCCCTCCTCCCCAAAGGACACGCAAGAGGTCAGGGCAGGTGGGGCCCAGCCTCCGGGCTGTGGGTGCACTCTGTCCCTCCTGGGATAGGGGACAGGGAGGGGAGGTGTCGAGCAACAGACAGCACAACGAGGGGGGGACAGGGAAGGGCCAAGAAGGTGGGCTCTCGAGTCAAGAGGCCACGGGCGGGGAGCAGCCTCCAGATGGCGAGATGCTGGGAGAGCCCCCAGCCCCATTCCAGTCCAGAGACAAAGGCTGGAGGTTGTGAAGTCTGGCAGTTTGGTCTGCAGGTCCTCGTGTCCATCACCCACCCAGGCCAGCCCTCAGCATCCCTCACTTGGCCTCAGCCCCTTGGGGCAAGGAAGAGGCCACCCTTCCAGCCACCTCTCTGTCTGCCCGGGCCATCTTAAAGAGGCCTGTCACGTGGGCCCTCTGGTCCCTGAAGCTGGGGGAGGTGGGGTGGAGGGTGTGGGGAGTCGGGGCACCTGTCCCCAGGCTGGGAGGGGGTGGGGTAGGTGGTTGAGGACAGGGGAGAGAGGATGATGGGAAGGGTTATGATTCCTGTTAAGTAGAATTGGAATTCCTCAGTGTCTGCAGGTTTCCTTCCAGTTCTGAGATCTGAAAAACAAAGGTAAGAGGGGGCGCTGGGCATGGGCCCCGGCCCTCTCCTCTGCCTCCCTGTGGGGGCCATGACCTTGAGCTCTCAGCCAGCAGCAGGAGCCCCCCCGCCGACAGGATGCGCAGGGCAGATGACAGGTGGGGGCGCGCGCGGTCCCCTCCAGCCGGCTACCTTGTCCAGGAGCTTGTCCATCTCCTCCTTCCTCGCCAGCTCCGACTCCTCCAGAACCCGCCGCTGTGCGGTCTCCTTTTTCAGGAACTCAATCTCCCTGGGGACACACAAGGTGCGGGCGTGTGGCCTGGCTCCCGTCCAGGCAGACTTGGGACCCTCCCCCTCCCCCTAGGTCAGGAGGTCCCAGGTTTTATCCCAGGACCTCTGGGGCCTGGCCCTGTGCTGCCCAGCTCAGGCCACCCACCCCACCCCACCCCCGACCTCAGGGCTCCACACCGCCACCCCAAGCGCTGCCCAGGCCTCCTGAGGCCCGCCACGTACTTCTGCTGGTAGTCCTTGATGAGGCGCTTGGCCTTGCTGTACTTGCGCTCCAGAGCCTGGTATTGCGCCTGGGTCTCCCGGAGGTGCTCGTCCACGGCCTGGCACAGGCTCTGGGCCTCGCCCCAGTAACCCTCCAGCTTCTCCATGCGCTCCTTGTTCTCCTCCACACTCTGCTCGAGCTGAGCCTTCTCCGCCCGCCAGCGCCCCTTCTCCTGCTCCAGGCTCTGCAGCTGAGACACGAGGAGTGGCCCTGGGTTGGTGGTGGGGGTGGGGGTGGGGGTGACGGCGCCAGGGGATTCCAGCAGCGGTGGCACCCCCTGCCCCCGGCTCTGAAGTCTCCTTGGCCGAGCCTGGCGGGGGATGGGGAGGATGAGGCAGCCTCACAGCACCCCCCGCCCAGAGCGCAGGAGAGCTCCGTTAGTCACTGACAGCTCTGCGGTTTGGGCCAAGGCAACGCTGGCTCAAGACTGAGCCATTCCTTCTGTAAAATGGGAGTGACACTTGCTTCGAGCGCATGCGAGGGCTACAGTGAGACAGAGGAGGCCCAAGTGCAAGGCAGGAGAGGGCCGTCAGTGCTCTCTGTCCGCCCGCAGCCCGGGCCATGCCCAGCAGCGCGTGCTTCGGCGGCTTCCCGACACTCCGAGCTCCTGCTCTTCCAGCCCCCAGGGGACCCCAGTGCTGGCCTCCAGTCCCCAACAGCTCAGTCCTGGATCTCACTGCCAGGGGCACAGCTGCACCCCCACCCTGAGCCCCGAGCCCCAAGCCTCAGCCAGCCTTGCTCCCAACTCCCAGCCGCATCTCCCAGCTCTTCACAGACACCATGCCCCACACCAGACCCTCTACCCGCACAATCCTAGGCCTCCTTCCCCAGCTTGCTCACCACTGGCAAAGGGCACCGCCCACTCACAGCCATCCCAGCATGCACTCTCAGGACCCTGCCTGCCTTACCCCCTTGTTGGCTGCAAATGCCCCTTACTCTCTGTGCCTCGGCCACAGACTTGCCACAGGACCTTAGCATGGGCGACTCCCGCTGCTTGAATGTTCCCCATCTGCTCTTCCCCGGCCTAGTCATTTCCCGCCAACATACCCCTTGGCTCTGGGCTCAGTGGGTCCCTTCCCCACCCCAGCTGGACTGGGTTCCCGGGAGCTCAATGACTGTGCTTCTGCACAGAACCCAGTGTCCGTTTGTAACAGGACAGCCATCAGTGTGCAGCCACTAGAACAGCACCCGACAGACACCGCAAATGGAGCGCACGAGCACACGGCTGGCCTGGAGCCTGCCATCTGGACCCTGGAAACGCAGTTCTTCCCACCCTCAGCCAGTACCCTGGGCAGTGCTCGCCGGCCTTGCCAGGACACTGCCCGGGCCTCTGCCCGGTCTGCCTGCCTCCAGGTCCTGCTCACCCTCACCCTCCTGTTCTTTAGGCAGTGACCTAAAACTCCCATGGCCACAGAGCCCCACGCAGCCTGCAGGGGCAGGCCACAGCCCAACCCTGGCAGTCCAGCCTGCCCCACCTCGCTCTCCCCCTCAGAAAGTGCGGCCACAGCCCTGCAGGCCTCCTCCCAGCACAGCTGCCAAGCTCCGGGTCATTGCACTGCCAAGAGGGCCCTGCCTTCTGCCTCTAAGCCCTGCCTTCCTCCCGAGGCTGGCCCAGCTTCACTCTCCCCCACGTGCGCTGGGTGCACATGCACCTGTGTGCACGGCCCCTGGACACCTGTCTCTCCCTACCACACCGGAAGCCCGGCTGGAATTGAGATTCATGTCGTGCAGGCCCAAGCAGTGGCCGTGTGCGTGCCTGTGCCGGTACCCAGTGCGCCTGCGTGCACATCATGCGAGCCCCATCTGCAGGTCTGTGAGTATCGCTGGTTGGCGGTGTCAGCATCAGCAGTGCCACGTGGCCTGCCTGGGTGAGAAGGCCTCTTCCTAGACCAGGGGGTCCGAAGGAACAGACAACAGGCTGATGACCCCGGAGGTGACGCCACCGTGAGACACGAGCCCCAGCTCTCCGTGATAGTGTCTCTCGGTGTTCAGATGCGTGGCTACCACTTGCCTGAGCCCAGGCTGGCACAGGTCTGGGCCTGTGCCTCTGAGCAGCCATACTTGTCACTGGGCCTGGAGATGGAGGCCACGTGGGGGACAGTGTGGCCACACAGACATCGAGTGTGGGGTGTGACTCAGGGTGCTCGGTACAGCAGCTGATGCTTTGGCTTTTATCTGTGACGTGCCACACACCATGCTCAGGACTTCCCAGCTGCTGTCTCCTTTAATTCTTCCAGGGTCCTAGGGTGTCGCTGCGATAATTACCTCATTTTACAGATGGAGAGACTGAGGTATACAGCAGGGAGTGGAAGAGCAGATGGGCACAGAACTCAAGCTCTACTGTGTTCCCTTGCCCCCGGGGAGTGTGCTCCCGTGGGCGCCTACAGGTGGTGTACAAGTGTCAGCACAGGCAGGTGCAGGGTCCCCTGGCCCTCACACGCTGTTCTTCAGTCCACATGCACAGCACACGCACTGCACACCAGTGCCCCACACAAGCACACGCACCACCCACGCCACCACAGGTCTCACCATCATCACGGCTCTCACCTTTCTCTTGAGCTGCTGGATCTCCGCCTCGGTCACAGCATGTTTGATCTGCAGCTGCGGGCAGAGGGACGGGCACTCAGCTCCAGCCAGGGTGGGCGGCGCCGAGGGCAGGAGGCCAGCCTGCTGCCCCACCCCCAGCCCAGGCCCCCACCTCCTTGAACTTGTGCACCAGCTTCTCGGGCTCCATGTCCACAGGGGACAGCGCGTCCTCGTTCTCCGCTAGCTCGAACACCTCGATGGCCACCTCGCCGCCTGGGAACGTGGGGCTCAGCTCCTCCTCCTCGTCGGTGGCATACTCCCCCGTCTGCCAAGGAAGACAGGTTTGTCTGGGTCAGACTGGAAGCACCCCTGGGCATGATCCAGGCCTCCCCTCATGGTCTGTGTCTTCCGTGATGGCCAGGGGAGGCCCCTGCAGGCAGGGGTGGTGCCCCCTAGAAGCCTGGGACTGGAAGACACAGCCTGTGTATCCCCTTCATACTACATACAGATCCTCTGTGGTCCGGACCTGCCTCCCTCCTCAGATTAGATCCGAGAAGAGCCCCTCGAGGGTGCACGATCTTGGAGGGAACTGTGTTTTCTTTGTGAGACCACGAAAGCTCTCCAAACACAGAGGGTATAACCCCTAGGCTCCCAGGGATACAGAATGGCACTTTGGGGTTCTCTGTGGGGGGGGTCTGGGAAAGCCACAGAGGCGGATGACTGTAATGCTGTATGTGGCCACCAGGGGGCAATCTCCCCAGCAGTCAGGCCAGCACCGCCTACCTCCTCATCATCCTCCCCATACTGGGCGTATCTCTGTTCCATCATCTCCCGCTGCCATCGCTCCTGCTCCAGGGTCTGCTGAATTAGCTGGGCCACTTCGCTCTGCTCTCCGGGCCGCTCCCGGCCAATCATAAACCTGCAGGGGCACCGGTGTCATCCACGAGCCTCTGTCCTCAGCTGTGTGTCACCATCCTCCCTGCTGGTGCTCCCCTCGAAATCCAGGCCCTCCCAGGGGAGGTGAAACAAGAGGGCTGAGTCCAGAGGCTGCCGAGGATTAATAATGAATGGAAGAGCTGGGGGACCTTACTGGGTTTCCTCCCGGGGGGAGGCGGGAGGCAGGCAGGCCCATGAGCCTTCCTGGCCAGCTCTGGAGGAGGGTGCTGTCCACCAAACTTTGGGCTGGGCTGCAGGGGCCATGAGCCCAGGAGCTGCTAGCACAGGAGGCGCCATGTGGGGAAAGTGAGGCAGGGGAACGGTGAGGATGACCCATGCCAGCAGGGCGGGGACTGTGGAGCTATCTTGGGTAGGTTCCAAGCCCCTGCGCTTCAGGAAGGGGCGGGATGATGGTGACTGGAGATTAGGATGGAGAGGAAGCAGCGGGACTTCCAGGCACCAGCCCCTCCCCACCATGGTCACCCGCATCCTGTTTCTCTTCACCACCCTTTCCTGGGAGCACCCCGAATCCGTGCCCTGAATGCACAGCCGGGGTGCGGTTGGTTTTCCCAGAGGGGAGGGAAGCAGTTCCAGACAAGGGGAGCTGGCGTGATCGGCACTCCCCTACACAGCTTGCGTTTGCAGTGAGTGAGTCAGGGCCAGGCAGCAGCAGAGGACGGTTTGGAGGTGCATGGACAGTGGGCCTAGAAGCCTGAGCCCTAGTGGCCAGCATTAATCTGGGAGCCGGACGTGGGAAGGCAGGCTGGGGCAGAACAACTGTGCGCATGGCAGGCCCCGTGGGCAGCAGTCAGCGGACCTCGCCCAGGAGCCGGGCTGCCCAGGGCTGAACAGGCCGAGGGCAGGGGGCACAGCGGCTGCGGGAGGGCCCAGCCTCCCCGACCCCACCCCTTGGGGCTCTCACCGCACACGGCCCTTGGTGTTCCGGAGCACAGAGGCCGCAAAGCTCTGGGTCACGCCCACCAGACTCGTGCCGTCCACCTCCACCAGGAGGTCGTTCACCTGGATCCTAGGGGAGGCGACGTGGGTTAGGGGGTCCAGAGGGACTCACATCATCTTTGAGAAATGCATGAACACAGATGCAAGCCAACAAGGAAACAGTAAACACACACGCTGCCTAAGGGAATCCGAAATGTCACAGCTACTCTTAAGAAATCCCATAACCTTTGTAAAAAGGCAAGAAAGGCGCTCAAGTCAAATGCGTTTCTGTAATCTCACAATAGACTTATCAGTTCACACACAAATGCACACAGGCAACGGGTCAAGAGTGGAACCGTGCGGGCCAGTGCTGTGGCACAGTAGGTTAAGCCTCCACCTGCAGTGTTAGCGCTGGTTCAAGTCCCGGCTGCTCCACTTCCCATCCAGCTCTCTGCTATGGCCTGGGAAAGCAGTAGAAGATGGTCCAAGTCTTTGAGCCCCTGCATCCACGTGGGAGACTCAGAAGAGGCTCTGGCTCCTGACTTCAGATCAGCCCAGCTCCAGCCATTGTAGCCATTTGGGGAGTGAGCCAGTGGATGGAAGACCTTTCTCTCTGTCTCTCCCTCTCTCTGTTAACTCTGACTCTCAAATAAATCTTTTTTAAAAATGCATTTCTACAACCTCACAACAGATTTATCAGTTCACACACATGCATGCACACATGGAAAGGGGTCAAGAGTGGAACCACGGGCTGGGGTGACCTCCCATTGGTACATCAATGTGCAGCTCCCACAGGGACCTGGGACATTGTCGTCCTGCATAAAATGCATGGGGCCAGGCCTACCGGTGTGGGGAGAAAGAGCTGGGTAAGCCAAGAGACACAGTGTCCAGGCCCGGCAGGGGAGCTGGGTACACGTCCCATGACAGTCACCCTCGTCGCCTCCTCCACCAGATGACACCACCATCACAGAACTCACCTCTGCCAGGCACACAGCAGGGGCCCAGCAGCACACGTGTGTCACGCTGCCCTCTGACACAGGCGTTTCTGCACACACCTGAGTCCACAGGTGTCTTGGCTCCCAACGCCTGGACGCCCCTCCACCCAGCATCCTGCACCCGAGACAGTGCAACCCACCTCTCGGCCCCCCATATACACTCCATATACCCACCGCTCCTGTTCTCCTTGCCACAGGGAGAGGCGGGTGTTCTAGCCTGGCCAGAGAGAGAGGAAGGAGGGTGGGGGACTCTGGGCCACCTCCTCCCTCCACTGCCACCTCCCTGGGAGCTCCCAGCCTTCTCTCAGGACTCCCGCACAGGAAGGAAAGAATGGCTCACATCTCCACGTGGGCCCACGCCCGCAGACAAGCTCATGCACACACGCACCCCCAAGCCAACCAGCAACAACTGGAAAGGCTCTCGAGGGGCTGGCGCTGTGGCGTCGCGGATAAAGCTGCCACCTGTAGTACTGGCATCCCAAATGGGTGTCAGTTCAAGTCTCAAGTCCCGGCTGCCCCACTTCCGATCCAGCTCTCTATTATGGCCTGGGAAAGCAGCAGAAGATGGCCCAAGTCCTTGGGTCCCTGTACCCACGTGGGAGACCTGGAAGAAGCTCCTGGTTCCTGGCTTCAGATCAGTGCAGCTCCAGCCATTGTGGCCAACTGGGGAGTGAACCAGAGGATGGAAGACCTCTCTCTCTCTGTCCCTCTCCTCTCTCTGTGTAACTCTGACTTTCAAATAAACAAATAAATCTAAAAAAAAAAAAAAAAAAGACGACTCTAGAAAGTTTGAGGTCAGGGGCAGGAGGGGCTGTCGCCCTTCTTCTCTCTGCACCCCCCACACCACCTGGACCACAACAAGCAGAAATCCCCTGGACGGGGTGACCTCACCTCTAGCAACGTGACCCCACAGTCACCCAGTTCCCACCAGGCCACTCTGCATCTGTGTCATGGAGAGGTACCACCAGGGACCCCTGACATCAACCCCTCGCAGCTACCCTGGGGGTGCCCTGTCGCCCTTCCCACCCCCATGGTCCTTCCCGTGCTGTTAACACATAGGTAGCAGAAAAGCCAACATCAGTCACCAGGCTGGCTGCCCCTGACCCTTCTGTCCCACAGAACTCAACCCTCCACCCGCAGACACTCCACGCTGGCCCACGCACCTGCCCTCAGCGCAGCGCAGTCCACTGCCAGAACATCTCCGCGCTGGTCCGGCCACATGGACACCTGAGTCTCCTTTGCCCTCCGGGCTGCAGCAGCACCTGCTCTCCCTCAGCCCAGCCAACCCTGCTGTCCACCACAGCACTCAGCTCCTCCCGAACCCAGAGGTCAAGCCCTCCTGCATCATGCCATCGTGGTACTCCACGTTTTCCCATTCCGCGCCACAGGCAAGCGTGCCCACTGCCTTAATGCCTGTCTACCTCGCTACACCGTCCGAATCCTCATGGACAGCAGGGTGTGTGTGGGTGGATGTTCAAGTGCCCTCCAGACACGGCCTCCACGGCGCAGGCGCCCTACCAAGGCCCAACACCCACCTGCAGCCAGGACACACAGCACCCCGATTTCACCAGCCCTCCCCTCCCCTGGAGGGCAGGGGTGTCAGGGCCCTGTACTCCACACATGCCCCCACCACGCCCAGAGCAGAGAAGCTGCCATGCCCGTCCGTGCGGACCCCACTGATGACAGCTGGTAGGGCAGAGGGGGGTGGTACCTGCCATCCCGATGAGCCGCGCCGCCCTCGGTCACCGTCTTGACGAAGATGCCCAGCTTCTCCAGGCCCATGTCGGCCCCGGCCCCCATGCCGATGATGCTGATGCCCAAGCCCTCGGAGTCTGGAAGCAGGAAGGGGAGGGGAGATGGCAGAGGTGGGGGGAGAGTCTCCCACTCCGAGCCCTCCCTGCAGCATGCAGCCCTACGTCAGGAGGCAGTCCCCATGCTCAGGAATGTCCTGTTACTGGGGTAGGAGCATGGCCTGCCCACCCCCAACCCGGATGCTGAGCCACCAGGGAGGACTTTTGGGTCGCTGGCTGCCCTTTGCCCCTTCCAAAGGGCTGTAAGCGGCAGGGTGTGCCCAGGGTGACGTACAGCCAGGTGGAGGCTTGCGTAGGCGGAGTAGGGTGTGGCTAGGCCTCCGGGGTGGCCATGATGGGGCCTGAGCCCTGTAGTCCCCCTCTCCAGGCGGCCTGGTTTCTACTCACAGCTGCGGGGCCTTCCTCTGCCCACCACACCTGCCCCGCCTGAACTCATGACCCCCCACACTCACTCACTGGTGGGCACCACCACTGGCTGCCAGGTCCGGGAGGCCCCGGATTCTTCCCTCCAGCCTCCACCTAAGCCAAACAACCTGCAGACCCTGCGGACTCCCTTCCCTGCCACGGCCGCCACCCAGGCAAGACTGTCTCGCCCCAACCCCTGGTGAGCGCCGGCTGTCCTGGCATCCCTTTCCCACTTGTTAATGGCGCCCAAGCCCTCAAAGAAAAATGCCCCCAGGTCTGCACCGTCTCTCCTCCTCCTCCCCAAAGCCTTGGTCCTGGAGCTCAACTCAAGCCCCACTTCCTCAGTGAGCCTGTCCCCTGGCTGCCCAGGCCCCCTGCTGTAAGGACACAGTGACAGGAGACTGCTCCATCCTTGGGCCCTGAGGCGACACCTGATCCCGACCAGGACCCGGCACACAGCGCTCGACTGTGACCTCTGCACTACATGAGCAAACAAGGCTACGGGCTGGTCTGGAGTCCCTGAGGGCTGCAGGGCCCCCACGGGAAGGCACAGGGCCAAAGCTGGTGTCAGAGGGGCCCTGGGGCCGGCCCAGCTGCTCACCCTTCTCCAGCTCCACGGGGAACAGCTCCAGCCGCTCCACACGCTTCTCCAGCTCATACTCGGCCGAGGCCGCCATGGGGTCCACGTCCTCGTTGCGCCGATCGTAGTCCTCGTTGGAGTAGGTGCTGAACACCTGGGGAGGGGGCGGCTCGTCAGAGAGGCCGGCAGCAGGGCAGGGGCGGAACTGGCACCAGGAGGCTGGGAGGCAGGCTGAGTGCCCGCCTGACACCCTGCTCCCACTGCCGCACGCCTTCTCCCCGTCCCCAGGCAGCCCTGCCTCGCCCCCAGCTCTGAGCGAAGGCCCTGGGGTTCTGCAGCTGATGGCGGGCCAGGGAGAGGAACCCCGCCTTGCCTGACCCACTCTGCAGCGCCGACCAGCACAGGCCCTGCCTGCAGCAGGAACAGCAGGACAAGCCCAGACAGACGGGCACTGAAGAACTGAGCTCAGGCCAGAGACGGGGACTCAGAGCCGGGCAGAGGCGAGGGTGGACAGAGAGAGCACCCAGAGAAGGAACAGGCTGAGCACAGAGGGGAAGAGGAGGAGGGGAGACGGGTAGGGGGGATGGGGAGGATGCCAGATGGGAGGGGGGAGGGGGCAGGAGCCAGGGGTGGAGAGAGGCAGAGAGGCACCCAGGACCCAGCTCCCGCCCAGGGAGGACCCTGAGGGTCCCCAGAGGGCGGGCAGGCAGCAGGGGTGAGTGAAAGCTGGGCCCTAACCGCCCTCACCCCCAGGAGAGCTGCTCTCTCTCTCCTCCGCCTGGCAAAACCAAGGGGACTGTGGAGGTGGCAGCATCTCTGACACTGTCCACAGCAGACCCAGGGCCCTAGGGGCTCCAAGGCCCCTCCCCCCACCCCTCTGCCATCTCCTTTCCCCCCTGTTGCAAAAAAGGGACTGTGCTGGCTCCAACCCTTCCAGAAAGAACAGAAACAGCAGGGCAGGGGCTCCTTGGGGTGCCCAATCCAGCATGGGTTCCCCCAGTAGGAGGCTAACGCATACCACCTGGGGTACCACTGCCGCCAGAGACAGGATGGCAGCCCTTGGAGCCTGAGGGGCAGGAGCTACAGCAGCAGGGGCCCAGACCAAAGGAGCTGGACTGGGACACTTTTCCCCAAGGCCCCCGCCAGGGCCCCCTCTGCAGCAGCACAGGCCCCATGGGCACCTTGGCGGGCAGCGGTACTCTTGTGTCCCAGCCTTTGCTGGGGCCAGCTCCCGGTCATTCCCACCCCCTTGCACACAGGCTCACTGCCCCGGGGTGGGGGGCAGGGCGCTCCTAGGATGAGCAGCACAGCTGGGAGGGGCCTCTGTGGTCACCGGGCTCTGCGCCCTGGATTTCACAGCCATGAGGGAAGCTGAAGCTCATCCGTGCACAGGGCAGCGGCCGATGCACCTTTCTCCCATCTGGCCAGGGGCCCCAGACCCCCTGGAGACCCCTGCTCTGCAAACAGTCCAAGATGCCAGGTCTGATGCCCAAGGTCACACCCAGGGTTAGCCAGTGGCAGGGCAGGAGAGGCCTGCACCTGGCTGGGCTCTGGTGGACGGGCCACTGGTGACTTTGTCCCCTTGCACACAGGTGCCCCAGGCCGTGGACTCAGCAAACTGGCTTTGCTCACTTCTGCATCTGAGTCTCCCGACCCCTGGGCTCTGCTCCGGGGGGAGGGTGCCCTCCTGGCATCCCTCTCCTGGGTCAACAAGACCCCTCCCGGGCACACACGGGGACACAGTCTCACTGTGACCTCCAAAACACCCTGTCCTGGCCTTGCCCCGCTCCAGTCATTTCTCCCCCTGTGGAATGGCAATCCCCTTTCAAACCCTGCCCCCTGCAGGCATCCCTCCTGCCCCCCACCAGGGGGCTCTGGGCCCTGTCCCATGTCCACAGGTGACAACCTGCCTGCACAGGAAGCGTCACCTCTGTAAGGGTTAACAGTTGGGTCACTGGCGGGACATGGAACCCAGTGAAGCGGTGGGGTCAGAGAGACGCACAACTGGGTCCCCTGAGCCAGGGTGGAGAGAATGAAATTCCCAGCAAGACACGCGAGGGCCACATCACACACCCTGGCTCTGCACCGGGCGGGCCGGCTCCAGGGCCACCAGGGAGTCGGGAAGCACTGCTCTAAATCATGTGCTATTTTTTGCCAGGTAATCAGGGTAAAGTGTCAGATATAGACTGCCAGAGGCCCAGGCCACACAGCTCTGAGGGCAGGAGGCCGCGCCAAGAACTGGTGGTGGTGGTGGTGGGATCCTGACTCCCTCCCAAGAACACCACAACCCTCAGTCCCTCGGGCATCCCACTGCCTGCACACAAGGTCTCAGGCCAGGGGAGGGGCAGGCTTGGGAGGAGGGCGGCAGCCTCTCCCCTGTAACCTTGTGAGCCTCTTGCTGGCAGGGAGGTGGGGGGTGGTGGTGGTGAGAACTTGGGTAGCTCAGTGTCCCGGGTAGTCATGGAAACTACAAGCAAACAGATGGGGGTTGGCTGGGGAAGGTAAACGCTGGGCAGGGTCCAGCCAAGGAGGTCCAGGGAGCTGGACACTCTCAGGGGGTGGGCCTGGGACTGGGCACAGCTGAGCCTGGGGCAGGGAGAGAGGCTCATGGGGGCTGAGTGTGGGCCAGTCAAGTGTGGATGGGGGTGGCTCAGGCTGCTCCCTTCTTCCCAGGGGATAGCCCCTCCCTGGTGGTACTGTTCTGAGGATCTCAAAGCCACTGGCCTAGCCCACAAACCTATCACCAACAGTGGTAGACGTGGGGTGAGACCCCACCAAGGGGCAGCTTCCACTCCTCTTTTAGGACACCAGAGAATGTGGCAGGAGCCCTGGGGAAGGACGACTGCCAAGACCATGGGCGGCTGTCCCATTGTGCAGCCAAGAGCAAAGGCATGCTGGCGGCTGCCAGGCACCCTGGGGATTCCACCGCCCCACCCCCTTCTCCTTCCTGCCCAAAGCCCGCCCCAGCCCCCACCCCCACCCCCCACCCCCGACCCAGCACAGACCCCTGGGAAAAACGCAAAAGAAAGAAAGAAAAAGAAATGTCCCTTCGATGAATCTAAGATACAATAGTCCTGTGATTTAGTTACCCTAGGGAAAGGTTGGGAAGCTGTAAAGGAGATTGTTAATGCATTTTCAAAACACAAAACATATGTATCCACTTATTAATGGTTTAGGCTTAAAATGGAATTTTAAAGAGATTTTATAATTTAGTATTTTAGACTGTAAAGTGGAATTATTTAGTTGATAGGAGATGAATACTGAATTGGAGATGAGAAGAACTTGCTTTTCTCTAGCTGGTTTGGTATCCATAGGCAATTAACATGGGCTTATAAAATTAATATAATTATATTTGCATAGAATTATTTTGAAGACTAAATGAAATTTGGCTTATGAAAATACTTTGCAAACTCAAAGGCTTTAATTGAGCTATAGATCTCTGAATCACTTTGCTCACTTGTGGGGTATGTTTTAGAGGAGAATCCATATATAGCCTACAAGTTGCTTGAAGCATATGGGCCTTTAAGCTTTACTACAACCTTGAAGACAGAAAAAAGTTCCTGTGTAAACTATCCAAAGTGCTGAATCTGAGTGCATTAGTTTATCAAAGGAAATCATATTGTATGTGAATATGGGTG